CGCTAGTAGGGTGGAGGCCATCGCTAGTAGGTTGGAGGCCATCGCTATAGTAGGTTGGAGGCCATCGCCAGTAGGTTGGAGGCGATCGCTAGTAGGTTGGAGGCCATCGCTAGTAGGTTGGAGGCCCAAAGATTGAGCGCCGGCAGTTGTCCAAACCTCCCAGGTGCGTTCCAACGCAGGACTTTCCTTTGACGAGCGGATTGAGATTGCTGCCAAGGTGGGCCGCGGCACAAGCACTATATACTTTTGAGATCTTTTGAGCATGCATCGGTTCTTCTTCAGCATCATTCTAATTACATACAGTGCTTTGTAACTTTGAATGTGCGGTTGATGGCTCCAAGCCTTTATGCCCCCCTGGTTTGGGGACGTAGTCCGGCTTTTGAGTTGGGGTAGTGCCTCAGGGTGGTTTGGTTTGTCGTGTCCTGCCCATTGCAGTGCCTCGCTCCCTCTCCACTTGGCAATCTTCCTGGCTGGCTTTTCCACTGGTGGACTTTGCGCCATTGGACTTTTCTTTTGGCTTTCTTGGACTTCTGTTCAAGCTCAACCACCTGCTGGCCACACTCACTACCGGCCTACCTCTCCTGCTCCTTTGGCACGCCTCCAGGCGTACCTGCATGAGCGCTCCTACCACCACCACTCTCATCCTGATTGAGGCTGTGCGTGGCATTGCTAGGGCACTACGGGGCCTTGCTGCACCTTTGGATCAGGCGGCTGACCGGGCCGAGGGCCGCCCTGCTAGCGGGACTCCTGCTATCTCATCTGATACGGTGGACACCGTCGACTGGGACCTCATCACACACCTGGATTCTCTGTCAGGACATCCTGTACGTGATCTTCCTGGGCCTTCTGTGCCCTCCACTTCTGGATACAACGAGGTCTCCAATAGCTTCCCGGCTCTCCCTGAGCATTGCTTGGATTTGTGCCGTCGCTTGTCTGGTACTCCTGAGGAGGTGCGATCTCGAGCCACTCGGGCTTGGGTGGCAGGGTGTTGGGCCAGGGCAACTATTGAAGGAAGAGTTCAGAAACCAAGGCCTTCCCCTAAGCTTGGACTTCAGGCTACAGTGTACATCATCCTCAAGGCCCCAAGCATCTCTCGACCTGTCAGGGTTAGCTCAGCGGCCGACTATTTCAAGCTGTTGCCCAAGTTTGACGATTCGGTCAGCCATTCCTTCCCTTCTTTGTCAGAAGGACAAGTCTACTGCCTCGCAGCTGGCTATAGTTTTCCTGAGCCCGCTGATCGACAGTGATGGCGCAGAATGTCAAGTACCTGGATGCAGGGGTCTACATGATCCATGTTTTGACCCTCAATGTGGGAACGGCAGCATCCCCTGTGTTTCAAGAGACTTTTGCAATTCCTTTGATGCAGCGCCGGACAGGTGCTCTTTTTGCATTGCCCATGGGAGCAATTCCAGATCCTCTGCTTCAAGCTGGCATGACAGCCTCACCAGAAGACCTTATTGGTCCTTCAACTACGGTGACAGTTCCCGTTGTGCTGGAGGAGGTGGATGGCACCGAGGCCCCTACAGATCAAGATATGGATGTGATGATCGTCGACTTCCACATAGCAGTCTTGGAGAGTGTCAGAGGATTCGACCCTGTGACCGAAGGCCCAGGGATCCAGCTTTTCTCGCCTTCCGGTCCGGATGTTCTGCCAGAATCCAGCTCCCTTCTTCTGGCGGCTTACTCATGGTTGGAAGAGGGGGCCGAAGGTCGGACCCAATTCTACTCTGCAGAGGAGCCTCCACCGGCATCAGCTGCGCCGGCCAAGTCAAATCCTGCGGGACGTGGCAAGACGAAGGCCTCCCCTGGTGGGGCTTCTACGCCCAAGAGAGTGACTACGGCGACCTTAGCAGAGCAGCTTGCAGAGTTATCCAAGAACCTTCCGGCCATCTCCACTCGGCTCGATGCTATGGCAGAAAGACAGAACAAGGTGGAAGCTCTTTTGTCGGCAGGGACAGCCCAGCAATCTGCTCCTACTCCGGCCTACCGACAGAACTTCGAAAGGCCATCAGCTCTGAGAAAAGCCTCTCCTTTGCAGTTCATGCAGGACATCGGGAGTCCGCCTCGTGTTCGGGCTCTTCAGGACAAGGCAAAGCCAACTGCCGTGACTACTATGGAGGAGGACGAGCCCGAGTTGCTTCCTTGCGATCCAGACTTTCAAGTTGTAGAGGCCTCAAAGGGAGACCTTTCAGCAGGCATGCCAGAAGCCATCATGCGGCAGTCTCAAGCCTTGACAACCCTGGTGGCACACTTGGTGGGTCAGGACAGCCTACAGGACTTCCCTTCAGCGGCATCTTCGTCGGTCCTGTCCTTGAAGGGGTCAGCCAAGCGGGACAAGCTTCTTTCAGACCTTTCTCTCAGAAAGGGCAACTTCCTTCTGAAGGTTGCGCAGAATGCCTTCCGCAGACTGAAGCCTACGGATCCTCTACCAAGAAGCTTGGAGGAGTTCGGAGGAAAGACCATCTTCTCGAAGTACCTGGAGCGCAACGGAGGCTATGCAGGGCAGAAGGATCTGGGCCTTGTCATGTGGCTGCTATGTCAAATTGCAGATACGATGATCCAGGGGGACCAGCAAGGAGCTCAGGAACTCTTGGCCTTGACCATGGTGACCATAGAACAGACAGCGCTCGATGGAGGAAAATGGGAGGTAGGTTGGATGCTGTCGCTTCAGGAGGATCCTCCGCCGGGGGTGTTCAATTCCCGGCCAACTTCGACGAACCCTCGACTTCGGGCCTTTGGACCTCTTTGTCCGCCGGAGTGGGCGACCATTGCTCTATCTTTTGTCAAAGAGATCGACATCATCAACAATCGGAGGCAGGAAGCTATCCCGTCTCGAGGAACAGTTCCGAAGGATCATCCACAGACAGCAGACAACCCAAAGAAAAGGCAGCCCAAGTTTCCAAAGAAACCAAAGCAAGGAGGAGATCAAGCTTCCTGAATGACCTGCTCGAAAATGAGGACGTCATTGAGAATGCCTCGGGTCTCGCTTCTGCTGGGCTACACGACACGCACTACGTTTCCAGCACTACCCCTTGTTCCGGAGATTCTCTCTGCCGGGGTCAACGTATTGAGGAGCCTGATCATGGTACAGACTGGACTGAGGAATCAGCGCCGTTTAGATCTTCTACAGCTGATGCTTGGGAGAGGCTGCAGAGCTACTCATTCCATACGTGGTCTTCTTCTCTATGCTCCATGGTGCTGAAGTCAAGGACTGCATTTGCTCGGTTCTTGAGATCAACTCTTCATGCTGATAGGAGACTCGATTCTCCTTCAAAGGCCTTCTTTCCATTGCCGATCCCGAAGCTGGGTATTTTTGAAGCTAAGAAGTTGGGCAGCACTGCGAGGAGGAGGAGAGCTTTTGATCAGGCCTTTCATATTTGTGTGATGGCATTGAACTACCAGCACTCTGACTTCTCGCCAATCCCTATTGAGTCTTTGTGCAGAGTCCCTTCGTCAGCCCAGGGGATTGCTTTGGAGAATTTGCGAAAAATGCTGAAGGCCTTCGGTAGCTCAGGGGAAAACTTTCAGGTACCTCAGAGCGGCCGTAGAATGACTACTTTGGCTTCGCTTCTGGCAGATCTTTCCGATTTTGCTACATGGGAGGGTCTTGGAGGAGGTGGAGTCTATTCTCGTGCTTTCCAAGGTGCAGAAGAAGGCTTTGTTGTGGGAGAAGTTCCTCGCGATATGACAAGGGCTGAAGAACTTCAGCCTTATCGCTCTTTGGACCCTGCAAGGCTGAAGCTTTTTGGTACTGCATCATGGAACCCAGAGAGCTACCTTTCGGACATGCTATGGCTCGCTTTTGTCGAGCCTGACAGTCTACTTTGGACTGCCACTGAACAAGCGGATGATCGACCAGATGTTGGGCGTGAGAGCTATGATAAAGTAAAGGAGCTTGCTCTTCTCTGGGACGTCAATGGCCTGCTCTCTTTCGGGTCTGCCGGTGATGAGAGATTTGATGCATCGCATGCCATGCGCTTCTTCAACAACTACAAAAACATTGACATCGACCGCATGATCGGAGACAGACGGGCACGGAACTATGTTGAAGGCCGGCTGACAGCAGTTTCTGCAGGTCTTCCTTCGGCACAGAGCTTCATGGACCTTGAGATCAAGTTGCCCCAGCAGAGGCTTTCTATATGCTGTTCTGATCGCAAAGACTTCTATCATCAGATTTGCGTGACGCCTCCAAGAGCAGCATCTAATGGTCTATGGCCTCTTCTCGAGATCAATGACGTGGCTGGGACAGATGCCTTCAGAGCTTGGCTGCTGCGGGAAGGTTCGAAGAAACGGTATGACAGACTTATTCATGGGGACTTCTTGAAGTCAGGAGGAAAGAAGCCTGTGCTGGCTACTGGAGGAGGATTTTTGCAGGCCTGTTTTGCAAGTGTGCCACAAGGAGATCATCTTGGCGTTGAAGTCGCTACTGAGGGTCATCGGAATTTCCTCAGGACTTGGGGCCTTCTTGGACGTGACGAGGAGCTCCGGGCAGGAAACCCCTTCCGAGGCCATGACCTTGCCACTGGATTGGTGATTGATGACTTCTATGCCATATCCATTGAGGAAGCAGATTTGCCTGCACATATCCCTGGAGAAGGTCTTTCCAAAGATCGGCCACTTGCTGTTGCTCAGTTACTATGTGCTCAGCGTGCTTATGATGCCGAAGGCCTGTTGGGATCCCCTCAGAAGGACGTGCGTGATGCTATGAAAGCAAAGGTCAGTGGTGCTGAATTTGACTCTAGCCCCTCTACCAGGAAGCTTGGCCTGACCACAGTTGCAGCTCCTGCTCAGAAGCGGCTTGCTCTTGCATTCATCTCCCTGGTCGTGGACTACAGATGCTCTACATGCTTGCCTACTTGGAGGGTGGGTTCACGCTATGTTGTATCGCCGCCCTGCGATGAGTCTTTTGCATCGCTGCTTTGGGATGTCTTTGTCAGAGGTCGCTCAGGATCACCCTCATATCGTTCCCTTGAGCCGAGGTGTGGCAGAAGAGCTTGTTCTGCTTGCAGTGCTGTGCCCTTTCTTTGCGACAGATCTCTCAGTAGAGGTGCAACCCAGATGTTTCTGTACTGACTCTTCTGATAGCAAAGGAGCCATCGTCTCATGCAGCCTTGAAGAAGATTGGGCCCGAGTTTTGGTCAGAACTGGTCGTCGGAAGGCCACCTACACTCGGATGCTGAACAGGCATGAGGCCATCTTGAAGAAGATAGATCCTGACTTTGAGGAGACTGGCGGCTTCAATGAAGAGACAGCTGTGGAAAGGCCTAGAGCTTTTCGTTTCCACTTCATTGAGATTTGCGGTGGAGCTGGTAAGGTCGCTGCTGCTCTCAGTGCAAAAGGATGGACTGTAGGGCCAGTCCTGGATATTGATCGATCGCCTCACTATGACTTGGCAAGCCTCCGATTGCTTCAGTGGATCTTTTTCATGCTGGAAGATGGCAGGCTTGACTCTTTCATGGTGGAGCCTCCCTGTACGACCTTTAGCCCAGCTCAGTATCCTCCATCTCGGAGCTATGACCTTCCTCGAGGTTTCGACCCACAGGAGCCTAAGACATTGCAAGGAACTACACTTGCCCTTCGAGCACTTTCTCTGATGTCTCTTGCTGCTCAGCTGGCTATTCCAGGGCTCCTTGAGCAGCCCCGGAGATCAAAGATGAAGAAGCTTGAGGAGTGGCAAAGGCTGCTTGAGTTTGGATGGGCTCATGAGGTTTGGACCGCTTCTTGCATGTATGGTTCCCCTCACAGAAAGGAGTTCGTCTTTTTGCTGGTTGCAATGCAGGCAGAGCAGCTACACCGAAAGTGCGATGGATGTCATGAACACATACCAATTCAAGGTCAGTGGACAAAACCTTCGGCTACATACACAGATGAGTTGGCTGAAGCTTTGGCAGAAGCCTTCCACCAGGCTTTGAATGACAGGCTGAGAAGTGAAAAGGACCGTGATCTTCAGGTCGATGGCCTAGAGAACATACTGGTCAACGATGTGATCCTGTCAAGAACATGGGATTTGGAGCAGGTATGGCGTTGGCAGAAGCCTGCCCACATCAACATCCAAGAGACCATGGCAGCAGAGAGGCTCTTTAAGCAGGAGGCCGTTTTGAGACCAAAGACAAGGTTTCCGCTCATCATGGACTCCAACGTCAGCCTTTCTGCTTTGGTGAAAGGAAGGTCGCCGTCAAAAGGGCTCAGGAAGAGCCTTCGAAGAGTTGGTGCCACCTTGATTGCTGGATGTCTTTATCCTTCGCTGCACTTTGGGCCGACTAGGATCTTGCCAGCTGACCATCCTACACGAGATCATGATCTGCCTGACCCTTGTGAGAGTTGTGTGCCCAAACCTTGCCCTTTCGCTGATTTGCTCGACTTCAGCCGTATCAGGACATTGCGGCGCTTTGCATCAAACTGGCTCCGGCTGTTCCTGCTCTTACTTGAGACTGTTCCGCCGTGGATCAATGATAAAGATGCCTGGCGCTATGGCCACGTGAATTTTCGAAGTTTCTCTGCTCATCGGAGATTTCATGGCTACCTGGAATTTGACCAGACTTTGGTTTTTCCAGGGGAAGGTCCTGGATTTGGGCCTTTCTCTTGTCGGCCTTGGGCTTTGGCCTGCTTGGTTTTCCCATGCACTGTCATCTTGAGCTCAGCTTTGTTGACTGCAGCTATCCTCTTTGGACTTTGCTGTTCTCTTGGACTCCTGGCTCTTGCTCAGAAGAAGGGACGGCCGGCTACTGCAAGCCGGTTCCGCCTTCACCCATGCGTGCCCGGGCCCTTCGGTTTCCCCCGGAAAGGTGTTTGGGTTCTTTTGGGGATTTGGTTGGCACTACCCCATGTAGACGCGGCGCCCCATGTTAGCCATGGAATGCACCTGATCCCAAGGAACCAAGCTGACAAGGTACGAGCCCAAGGTCGTGACAACCTTGAACTGCCGAAAGGCAGGCCTGTGCTGCCGGCCACTCAGAAACTGCGGGATCGGTTGCTGGAAGATTTTTCATCATGGTTGGGCAGTCAAGGGGTTTCATTTGAGGAGCTAGTCATGGTCTTGGACCCTGATATCGAAATGGTCAACATGATGTTGGAAAGATTTGGACGTGAGCTCTACAAGGCAGGACGCCCATATGGGCATTACAGTGAGCTGATCAACGGAGTGGCTGGAAAGCGGCCAAGGATCCGACGCTCGCTACAGCCAGCGTGGGACCTGGCCTACACGTGGCTGCGGCAAGAGCCGCCAAGCCACCACCTGGCGCTGCCGTGGCAAGCGCTCTTGAGCCTTCTCTCTACCTCACTGATGTGGGGCTGGAGCAAAGTTGCTGGAGTGATCGCCCTATCCTGGGGCGGGATCACGCGAATTGGTGAAGCTCTTTCTGCATGCCGCAGGGACCTGGTCCTGCCCCAGGACGTGGAGTGGACCACCAACTACGCCCTACTACAGATAGCTGAACCGAAGACAAGATACAAGGCGGCCCGGCATCAAGTGGCCAGGCTGGATCAGCCGCAGCTCCTTCAGGTGGTGACCTTAGCATTTGGCCACTTGAGGCCAGACCAGAAGCTGTGGCCAGACAATGAGGCTGAGGTTCCAAAAGCTCCTGGCGGCAAACTCCTTGGATGAGATGCCAAAGGGGGTCAGCCGGGGCATAGACCTCGGCTCACTTCGGGCCGGGGGCGCCTCGTGGCTGCTGATGGTGAGCGAGGACTCAGAGTTGACCAGGCGGCGTGGCCGCTGGATCACCGCAAAGGTGATGGAGATCTATGTCCAGGAAGCCTGGGCAATCCAGTTCATGCCCAGGCTCCCTCAGAAGACAAAGGACAAGATCTCAAAAGGCATTGCGATTTTTGACTGGATTCTAGAGCAATGTGTTGGATGGCGACAGGCAGCCATCCCGGATGCAGCATGGCCCGTGCTTGCGTTCGAGGCCGCGAAAGCCTTGGAGTTGAATGAGATGGGCCAAGCTGGAAGTGATGAGCTGAAAAAGCTGGGTGGTGAGGGAGCCACTTTTGGCCAGATGGCCCGTGTGCACCCCCCATCCAGCATGGAGAAACAAGTGCGTGAGAAGTTGCTTTGTAACTTTGAATGTGCGGTTGATGGCTCCAAGCCTCCCGCCGCGCCCTCCCTCGCGGCCTGAACGCTGCTCCTGGGAGCCACTTTTGGCCAGATGGCCCGTGTGCACCCCCCATCCAGCATGGAGAAACAAGTGCGTGAGAAGTTATATAGTTTTGCAGCTTCAGACCGCATTCACGCACAGAGCAAAAGGGCTTCTTACCTGTGCCTTTAAGATATTTTGATTGACGTTTCAATGAACCGTGACTACTGGCCATAAGTCAGGCACAATTACAAGCAGATAAACTTCATGTTTTTTCATGTCCAGGAACATATAATTTACATTTCTTCACTACTCACATTGAACACACCATTTTTGATGTCGTTGGCTAACTAGATTTTCATGTCTTCATGTCTGTTTTGATAGTGCAATATGTCCTAGATTTTCCAACAAACAAACATCTGAGACTCATTTCCTCGCGAGCTGTTCAGAGCCCCCTTTGCAGGCCAAGCATGATGAAACTTCAAAGCAGGAACTCGCACAGCGCAAGGTCTTGCAGGCCGCTGCTTCTCGTACGGGGAAGGGTCGGAAGGGTCCGTGCCAAACAGTTCAAGCAGGGTTTGTTCAAACAGTACCCCCCCACCGTCGGCTCGCCAGTGACCAAAGGACCTGTGGCACTGACCAAAGGTCAGTTTTGCGATAGGGATGCCAGTTCCTCATGGTTTGAGACGTTCTTGCTGTCAGTCAACCTCAATTGATGCTTGCTGTCAGTCAAGATGTCGGACACGACGAGCAAGATGTTCCAGCCGCCCAGCAGTTTTCTGTCAGGACGCGGTGGAGAAGGGACGATCACGGCCAACCAGTGCGCCAGTAAGGCCATCGAAGTTGAGCCCCAACCAGCAAGCGATGCTGCAGGCGAGAGAAGGCATGTGGGAATCTTCCAACCCACCAGTGGGCCTGCTATTGGCTCCGGACTGCAGGAGAGGATCAGGAAGATGAAGGAGCAAGAAGATGCTTATAAGAAGCAGGCAAGGACGGGAGAAGAGGCCCAGTGGACCAGAATTTGGGGGGAACTGTGGTGTTTCATGGGAAGACCAGAGGCCCTATAGGCCCTAGACTTGTGACCGATTCTTGGTGTGAAAGCCTTTTAAAGTGTTTAGTAAGAATGCTACGAACGTAGTGATGCCAGGAGCCCTGTTCGTACTGTCCTTGCTCCTAGTAGCGATGCCCTTTGCTCCTAGTAGCTTCTTGTTCCTAGTAGCGATGCCCTTTGCTCCTAGTAGCTTCTTGTTCCTAGTAGTAAGAATGCTACTAGTAGTGATGCCAGGAGCCCCTAGT